GTGCGGATTCTAATTAATCTTCGTTTAAAAAAAAAAAACAGTGAAATAAGGAAATACCAGAAGAGCACCGAGCTTCTCATCCGCAAGCTGCCGTTCCAGCGTCTGGTTCGTGAAATCGCACAGGATTTCAAGACCGATTTGCGTATCCAGAGCCACGCCGTGCTCGCCCTTCAAGAGGCGGCGGAAGCTTACCTCGTCGGTCTGTTTGAAGACACGAATCTGTGCGCAATTCACGCTAAGAGGGTTACAATCATGCCTAAAGATATTCAATTGGCTAGGCGCATTCGCGGCGAACGTGCTTAAGTGTTATAGTTAGGGTTTCTGTTTTATGTTTTTATTTTTTTAATTTTGATTTTGCTCTGAGGGTAGAGCTTGAAGCTACTGTTTGAATTTTTGTTTCTCTGTAAATTTACAGACAGATTATCAATGGATTAATTGTTATAATCAAGTTTTGTTTTTGCCTTGCACAGATAATATCAATTATCTTGGGCGTAAAACATATTATTTAAAAGGGATGTCAGTTTATTAATAATGTGTTTTTGACTTCAAATTTGATTCTGACTATTTTGAGTTTGAATTGGGCAAAATTAAGAGAGTTTGAATTGGGCAAAATTAAGAACATGGAATTTGTAGTTCTTTGAATTAGTTATTTAACATTTCAGTATTTATAACGAGGTTTTAATTATAAATAAGATATTTCTTATGAAGGTTAGCCTAATATAAAATCTAATTTACTATTTATTGCCTCTTCAAAATTAAATGTTGTTTTATATATATATGTAACTCATGATTTAAGTATCTTTCAAAATAAAATGATTCTACTCGCTAAAAGGAAATATATGTATAATTAAAATATGGACACTACTACATTCGAACAAAAAACACTGATTTGAAACATAATGCACATAATTGATAGGTCGAATCAAAAGTTGTAAAACTTGATACATACAACATTTATCTGTCACGCGAGCATTGATACAATCTGTACATGAAGAAACATTGTTGTATGTATCCCAAAGATTCAACAACAAAAATTGTAACTGGATGGAAGATCTCAATAATTTGAAAGATGATGATGTCCATGATTCAGTAACAAGTTCATCATCATAAATACAATTCTTCCCCAGGTAATCGAAGTAGGCTGGCTAGTAGTGCAAATCATGCGTACCCGGGCCGAAAACCTCAATTTTCCTATTTTTATTTTAATGATTATGAAAAAAATTAGAAATTTCGATCAACACATAGAGAGTAATAACACTAAAATGAAGCCTTTATATACATATGCACATTATGCAATATTAGTTTCAGGTCAATAAGATTCATAAAGTTTCGTAAATTATTATTTTTTCTGTTTGGGTGTAATCAGGTAATCACAAAGTATGTAACGCTAGGTATTGTACCTTTGTAACAACGACAAAGCCACCCAAATCTGGAGTTGGTTTCCCGTTTACTTCTTCAATTCACAAAGTAACATAAAAGCCATACCATTTCATAGTTTCTGAAAAGAAAAAAAAAAAAAACAGAATCATGATGAAAACAACACATTTTAAGAAATCGGTACAAGTAAAGGTACATAATAGAATACGATTTTCCTCAAAGTAACACGAAGATGAAAAGCATATGTTGTAAAAAATATGGAAATAAATAACTTAAACATGTTCAAATCAGAATCGCAGCGAGGTTTCTCTATACATGGGAATGATAAATCAAGGGAACCATGGCAGCAGATTTTGTGAGAAGCAGCACGAAGATGAAAAGCAGAATTCGGTTTAAATATGGTGATTCTTTTTTTCGTAAAACAAATGTAATGTAAACATGAGTTTTTCGTTCAAAACGTTTGGCATGGGATGTTTTGAAACAAACGCGAAGATCAGAATGGCTCGAAAAATTTGCAACCTTTCTTCGTAATAATAATGGCTGAAAATATGACATTTAAGATATAATGCATAATTCAGTAATAGATGTTGCATAATTCAGTATAGATGTCCAGAAACAAAGGGGAAAATGAAAAATTGAAGCCCATCATAGAGACCCTTTATGCGAAAGAGTCCAGAAGGATGATCAAAAGTAGCCCATTAAAGATGCCTAGGATCAAACAAGAAAATAGACAAGAGAAACCCTGTAATAATTGCTAAAATAAGGTCAGTTGCATAGAATCTTGATGTGAAAAATGCTTGTATAAAGTCGA